CATCCTATTGCTGGGCCAAGACCAAACATGTTTTGACTTTAAAATTTGTGAAAGAGGGCACATAAAGCCGTGTCTATGTCCTTTCCGCCTTACTTTGGACCTGAAAGATGCATTTTCTTACATCCTTTCTCTTTTCCTTGTGTCAAAAGGCCGTAAAGGACAACTGCACCTTCCCTGGCTACGCTGGAGGAGCTGCTTGTGTCAGACATTCCTACGTAGAAGAACAAAGTTCACCTAACGTGCTTAGCTGGTTAGTCTGACCTAACCAACCCAGACAAACGCTTTTCTTACATATGTATACGTAGCACCACTTTCTAGAGGAAGACACAAAAGTGAACTTCAGAGGTCACAGTTTTTTTACAAAGTTACTGTGACATTCACACGTCTACCTCAAATGTCCTATACTAGTGCAAGGATAACGCAGAATAGTAAAAGGCAGTAAGGAGTGAGAGGATGCTGGGTGGTAGCAGCTGGCGAAATACTAACCAAATATTCTACCCCTGCAGGGCTGCGTAAGAAAGAATGAGGTCTGAAAAGTGGGAAGAACAATCAGCCAAAAACCTGTTTTCTCACCTGAGACCTGCTCAAGACCAAAACGCGGCTACTAGTGAAATGTACTTGAGTTCCTGTGAAGAATGAGAGCTGGTGGCAAAACATGGGAGTTCCTTCTTACCGTGAGAAAGCCTCTGAGGGGCTAAGCCTATTCTCCTTTCCAGTTACAAGAAAATTCTCAGACGTGAGTGAGGAGACAGCAAGATTTCATCACACATAGTGATCTTGTCACTATGGATAGATGATAGGCATCATCTATCCAGAGACTGAAAAAAAATTGTTTCATTTCATAATATCTGGTATTCTAGAGCACAGATTTTTAACCGTATTTTTGTAGATAATATGTGTTAACGTGCACTTGGAAAAAATTACTATGCCGAATACAGGACTGAATTTTGTAACCAGACTATAAACATTGACGCAGGCTATGACGGGTCACTTGTTCAGCAGCATTAATAAATTATTTAAAATATGGTACAGCAAATATTATGGCAAATGGTGTTCAAAGTAGAATACCCTTACAGATCTTTTATTCCAAAATGCATCAACATTTTGGTGAAGTAATGAACTTCTGAAAAACTAATATTGACAGTTGGGAATGCTGTATCACCTCTCAGCACTGATCTGCACTGCCCAAAGTTTACAGCTGAGGCAGCAGCCCCACTCCTTGAGATACCACTGTTACCCTATCTTAAGTTAGCACTGCTGACCTTTTTTTCCAACAGATCAAAGACTTTAAACTGATTAATTACTTGTCTCAGCCAATTTTAATGAGATCTCGCAGGATACAACAAGAAGGAGAAAAATGCCACGTGAAGAGATAATCATTTGCCTTCTCCCTCCTCTTCTGTTAGAAGTTTCTTCAGACTCTGTAATCGGTTTTGAATGATTTAAGCCTTTTTTGTAGAGATAAGCTCTTATCTTAGATACAGCGTATTTTCATGATCAGTTGTGCTAAGCGACATAAGCCTGTGTTCTCACACCAGTTTTCACAAAAATTCAGACAAATGGTATCTTAAAAGAAAAGTCACATATATGAACAAGCTGAAACTTTTTAATGCTAAATTAGCATTAAAACCTCCAGACAAGCTAATGCCGTTTTTAACCTTATTCTTTGATCTCAGATTTGCTTCCTGACAGGAGCAGTGACACTTGCCTCTCTGAGGAGAAGCTATCTGTCTGTGTCCTCTGCATCAAGAACCCCAGCCCCGCTACAGAAATCTCACCTGAGGGATGTGGATGGGTATCTGCTGTTACATCTATTTAAAAACTTGCAGACAAAAAGCAAAACTCGCCAACAACAAATTCCGGTAATCGCAGCCTGCCATCTTACTATTATGAAAGCCATGGAAAAATATTCATCTACCCGCTGCTGGTCTAATGGCTTAAGCCACCCCCCAGCTGGTTATTGTAACTCGGGTGTCAGATTCGTGAGTGAAAATAAGTTATTAATGGTACTCGTATCATAATAGCACCTAAAGCTCAACTGAGATCATTATCACGTCGTACCAAGTGCTGCAGTACTCCACAGCCGAAGGACCTGTCTGCCCTCGGAGCTTAAAAGTTCAAATAGACAATTCAGAGAAAGCAAGCATTGCTGACGTTCTACAAATATGGCAAATAAATAAAATATGAAGTGAACACACACCCCCAGCATTAATTCAGTCATAGACTTCAGAAGAAAAATCAAACCTGGGGTTTAATGATAGATTCATCCTTTCTTTTTGTAATATATGAAGGGAATGCAACGCATGCTTTTGACTGGAAGAGCTGGTAAACGAAGAAAAAAATAGATCTTCGCTCTAATGCTCAGCTTTGGGGATAGAGTACATCTTTCAATGTAAGTGACAGTGATTAACAATAATGATTTCTTTCCACGAAGGAAAAACAATTCCTGGGATAAATGGCTGAATGCACACTGAACAGTGCCATTCAAATGTTTTAAACAGCACACACTACCATCTAGTGGTAGAAAGAAAAGCACGAAGGATCTCGAAAGGGCTACTTTTATTACATGCATCTGCAGCAACATCTTTCAATGTAAGTGACAGTGATTAACAATAATGATTTCTTTCCACGAAGGAAAAACAATTCCTGGGATAAATGGCTGAATGCACACTGAACAGTGCCATTCAAATGTTTTAAACAGCACACACTACCATCTAGTGGTAGAAAGAAAAGCACGAAGGATCTCGAAAGGGCTACTTTTATTACATGCATCTGCAGCAAAAATCCTCACTTCTCAAGTGAGAAGTAGCTATCTAACCAGCTAAAAAAAAAATCAAACTGTACAGAACTTGATTATAACTAAATGGAAAATGTTTGGAGAAAGACTGAACATGTGGTCCTATGGGCGACTTTACTTCCTAAACACTCATTTAAACCACTGACTTATTTAATATTCCTCAGAATAGGTTTTCATTGCACCTGTTTCATGGCTACGCATAGGCAGGTGTAGTCAGCAGTTTAAACACATGGCGTTGGTATCAGTGTCAATACTTCAGAAGACTTTGAGCTTTTTTCCTGCATAAGAGCTTATTCACAAGACAGTATATTCATATCTAAAATACGCATATATTAACATTGAAGATTAATTTTGGCTATCAGTAAGACAATTTTTTTAATTACCCCCATATCCTGCAAGTATAAAAGCACATGTCCTTATATTAACATTGAAATATTTGTACTGTCAGTTATTTGCATGTATATGTAACAGAAAAATTTTATTTCTTAAACCTTAACCAAATAACCACCTAGATTTACAATAACAAATGTCTGACACATTCACAGACTTCAGAGCTCAAAGCAACCCCGTCATCCAGTTGAATCTAAAAGACGGTCAAAAGAACTTGATCCATACTCATACTTTCCCCACAGTCAAGCATGGCACACCAGTGTATGATATGGCATTTTAGATATTTGCTTCATTTATCTCGTTAGATCATATGAACTTCATGAAAGCCTGACTGGCCCAACAACATTGACTTGTGGGGATCTTCTTTGGGGTCCAAGGAAGGGGTTCTCAAACTCCTATGTAGCAGGGCATACCTTAAGTGTGCCAGTCACTTTTCAGTCCATTTGCTCCAAATCCAGTTCTTTTGTTGGAGGGGAAATGCCCATCCCTGATTCCTTCCCAGAGCCAGGAGGACCTTTCCACACAGTGGTGGCTCCTTCACAGGCTGCCCAAAGAGCTTTACCTCCTACGTTTCCTACAGCCATCCTGAAGGCCTTGTTCTCTAGGAGGTTTCACTAAAAATCCTACTCAGTAGAGTCTTCACTTTACCTCTTTCAAGTGCTTATTATCTGCCAAGCAGCCCCTCTGGGTTCATTTCTCACAGATAGATTTGTTTCCCTTGAAAGAGCCTCCTATAGACAGAGAGAGGTCTGACCCTTTTTGAGGCAAGCCAGTCATCTTAAAGTGAATATATAAAGTACACAAAATCTCACTACTTTTACTTTAAACTCAGTTTGAGCAAAGCATATGCCCCGAAAAGAAAATAGATATAAAGAAAATCCCCAGTCTTATTTAACAGTTTGTTCTGATGTTAAATGCTGTTAAAGGTATGTTTTCTTTCTAGCTTAAATTTGCCTGATTCTCACTGACAGCCATTTGTTCTAGTTATGTTTAAGAAGTAATAAGAAGTCTCCCAGTACTTGAAGTTTTACGTTGGCGTCCCTCCTCACTATTCTTTTTGTTCAGCTAAGCAGATCCAGTCCTGCAAATCTCTCAAGAGTGTTTTTCCTCTTAGAGCTGCTGAAAGTGGTTTCACACCTGGTCCATACTGCTCCCCATCGCATTCCCTTTCCTTACCTTGACTTAATCGAGACATCCCAAGGGATTCCTTTTTCACAGTATCATCACCCTTGCCCTCCGAGGGCCTGGATGCCACCCAGTGCTGCTTGCCAAGCTCCTGCCGTACCTCTGCAGCATCATGCCCCAACCCTGCCTTTCCTCCTGGATGCCTGCGGTCTTCACAGCTGCTTGCTTAGCTCGGCCTCTGCCCACCAATAGCTGCAGCAACCACAGTAGCCAGGTGTCCTGAGCGCACTTACTCCAGTTTGATAGCCTTCCCCAAGCCTTACCGAGGCAAGCATGCATCTTAAAACACCATTACCACAGGTTTGAATTTTTTGTTGGCTTAGAACAATTTGTATAGATCACTTTTCTATATGTTTTTTGGTCTTTGTAGCCAACAGCATTCAAGGAATTGCTACAGCCTGTGTCATATTAACCATCTACATTAGTTATTTCCAGCTGTATTGACTGAAAATATCTCATGACTCTGGCTCTCATAGCAAAACATCTTTAACAGCACAACCTAAAGGGTTATTTCTGATAGCAGTTTGGTGCACTGTATTTGGCAGTACAATACACCATCCTTTTTTTTTTTCCTCTTCTTTAACTTGTGCAGACTGATCTTCTTTGTCTCAAAACCACAGAAGTGAGAATGAGAAAGCAGAGTGATAGCCTCTCTGTCCCATATTGTGTAGATGGGTCTTTTGTAGAAGGACCCACAGGAGAGGTAGGATTAGCTGGAGTGTTTATCAGAACTGCTAGTATTTGGAAGAGTAGTTGTCGTCCCAGGGCAGAGAGGAAACATACAAATAAAATGCTGTTAAATAAAACAAATGCAGTGAAGCTAAGGTTTCTTTACCGTGGTATTGGTAGGAGGCTAAAAAAGTTTTGAGGTGCAGAAGCTAAGGCTGGTTAAGGAGTCTTTAAAGTGGTAGGTAATGTACAAAGCTCATGGAACTGATTCAGATCAGTTGCTTTGTTAAATACCAGCACAATCTCTTCTCTTTTATATGTATCTCCCCCTTCTCCCCTGGTTCGCTATGCTCCTTCCCTGCCGCCGTTCTCAGTTAGATGGCAAGTTGCTCTGGAATGCGTCTTCCTATGTTTGCATTGTGCCTGGCAGGGCTGGACTCCCAAGGTCACTGCCACCTTTGGATGCCACCCCAGATCTCACGACGATACGCTGTTCATTATAGTAACGCAGCAGGTTACCGTGTACCTCTTACTGATTTTTAAGCTACACTCTGGTAAGTCAGCTCCTAAATTAGGTAGAAAAGAGTAATGCGTAGTAGAGGTAAAAGAGCCATTTATTTCAGGAGCAATCAGTAATAAGCCTGATTACTGATTTACCATAGAGCTCATTTACAAGTGCTGTAGAACAAATGGGTTTTGTCGGTAAGCACTTCTGAAAAGGAACAATAAATAGAATACAATTTCAACAAAAACTGTGTCAAAGCTGTTAATAGAAAGACTAGGGTTGGATTCCTAATCCTGGGAAAAGAAAAAGAAAAAAAAGAAAAATAAATAAAAGAAAAAGAGAAAAAAAAGGAAAAAGAAAATAAAAGGAAAGGAAAAAGGAAAGGAAAGGAAAGGAAAGGAAAGGAAAGGAAAGGAAAGGAAAGGAAAGGAAAGGAAAGGAAAGGAAAGGAAAGGAAAGGAAAGGAAAGGAAAGGAAAGGAAAGGAAAGGAAAGGAAAGGAAAGGAAAGGAAAGGAAAGGAAAGGAAAGGAAAGGAAAGGAAAGGAAAGGAAAGGAAAGGAAAGGAAAGGAAAGGGAAAAAGAAAAGAAAGAAAAAAAGAAAAAGAAAAGAAAAAAGAAAAGAAAGGAAAAAGAAAAGAAAAAGGGAAAGGAAAAGAAAAAGGAAAAGGAAAGAAAAAGAAAAAGGGAAAGAAAAAGAAAAAGAGAGAGATTGTGGCATAACTTGCATGCAAATAAAATAAAATCAACATTAGTGAAAAACGGACCTGGGCCCATACAGAACAAACTGTGTGTAATTCTATCCCAAGGCAGATGGTGCTTGCCTTTTTCTACAGTTTCCTACCCTTTATCACCACTTCTAGAGCATTATGCACCAAAACCAGCTTCACTAAACACCCCCTCAAAAAACGAAAGAAAGAAAGAAAGAGTCAGCTGCATAGATGTCATGGGAATTCCACATTCAAATTAAGCAAAAGGAAAGCAGGGCTGAAGGGAGCTCTGGAGATCACCTGTTGCAGCCTCTCACTACAAGGCTGCAAAACCGTCAATTTCTTTACTGATGCTGTGAAAAGCTATCTTCAAGGCTGTTATTACAGTGTATAAAAATATTTCAGAAATTCTGCTGAAGTGAAAGCTATATATTAATTTATAGAGAACTACATATAGATGCGATCTGGTTTTCTAATGAACTGAGTAATTTAACAGTAAGTGTAACAGCCAATCTGCAAATACTGCAACACTGGTAATAAAAGACGAATGATCACTGCACCTCTTGACTGCACGTGTAACTTGCTTCTATATCAGCTAGGTATTAACTCAAATAATTTTATGACTATTTTGAAATATACTAAGTTTTATTCCCAAAATCTAGAATTATTTTAAAAGCGATAATAATTTTAAAAGTTCTCTGAGTTTTGCAAAGAAGAATTGTATTAAAAGCCAAGTTCAAGTGGAAATGGTACAGAATGTGACTCTGTTTTACATGGGAAAAAAGAAGCTGTTAAGAGCTATGAAAGGTAAACTGAAATTTAAAACAGAAGCAAGAGTACGAAAAAGATCAAATGAGCTGTGATTAGGGATTATGTTTTAAGAAATTATTTCAAGATGCAACAGGCACAGTAAAATAGGAAACTAATTTAAAATAAATGACAGTTTAATGTAATAGGAATTAAAATAATTTTTTTAAAAAATCAAGAAAATCTAGACGCTTTATTAAAGGTGAAGGAAATCTCTTGGACCTTAGAAAAAGCTTTGAGTTATTTCCAGGTTCCACAGTAAAATGCTCTGATGGATCTAATTAGGACTTCATATACAATTTTGTAAACCAGGTCAATGTGAGAAAAGCAGCGTTTATAACACAGAAAACATGAAACACCGTATGTAGTTTATCCATTTAGTTTTGAGTATAGATATGTCCTGGGCACTTTGCAAAACAAGTAAAGGCATGTTTTCTTCTCTGAAGAGCTTTTATTTTAAGGACTACTTTTCAGATGCCTTGAGCAGATGAAATTCAGCTGAAGTTCGAGCAGTTCATCACTTTTGAAAACTCACGCCCCAAATTCAGTGCCACGGTATGTGTCAGAAAACGGAGGGAGGAACAATGAGGATGACAATAATGAAATCACAGTTACTTAATAAGACCCAGATCCTTGCAAAGACTCTTAGCTTTAAACATATCCGTAATCCTATTGAATCATGTGCAAATCAAGATGGTCCTTTAAATAGTGTTGTGTGCACGCCCTTCCCTAAGCAATGGTGCATGAGGTAGGGGACGGGAGTGGTTGAAAGGCATTTGAAAGTGATGGAGAGGAGGGGACTCAGCGAAGTAAGTTTGACGGGGATTTCCCAAGCAGAATCAAAAGCCTGGGCAGAGGCCCGGAGTTGTCCAAAATGAGAGCAGGTCCAGAGTTCAAGCCAGACATACTGTTAACAACGAAGTGAGTGCTGAGCTGGCCTTACTTAGCTAGCAAACAAGACGACACGAGGCTCCAGGACAGTCATCAGACTTTCTAGGACCTTGATGCTTCTGGGGCACTTCCAAAGTTAATCCCAAACCACTATTTTATTGAATTAGATATGGTACTTGACAATGGAAAACTACATATAAGGTCTGTTTGTTATCTTGCCTGCGGCACATGGAGGAGGTTATTGCTTTGTTAAAATAGTACTGCTTAACGAAAATAAAGTAAAAGAGAAGAATAGGAAAGTCAAAGACTTTTGGAGAATGAATGGATTTTAAGTACTTAAAAGAAAAAAAAGTAGTACAGAGTTTATTTTTTTGAAAGCTTCGTTATTGATATTCTTCTATTTTTTTTAACACACTGCAGAATGATTCATTCAGAATTTAAGTACAGGCTGCTTTGGCGCCTGCAGCTTTGTGGGATGCTGGCAGTTCAGGGAACTGAGTAACAAACAGAAGGAAGAGAGGGACTGGTGGCATCTGGCAAGAAGGTGTATCTACTCTTCCTCTCTGCTTTTTCAGCCTTGGTTAGAGGTACCTTGGCTTTCTGCAAGAGGCTTTTTCCCTCTTGCATGTCTACATCCCTACCTTCTTCCCAAGCAGACTGCCTCTAAGCAGCTGGGAAGGGAGCTGATTGCCCCTAATCAGCTTAGTGCTGGGAAGCTCAGGACACTAAATACAGATGGCATCACCCCCCCAACACGCAGCATGCCGCTGTGATTTTCAGCGAGGCATCTCTCCCTCTTAATTTTGTTCGGGTGGACCAAAGACCCTCTCAACCACAAAGCAGCAGAATGCTGCACCGACTTCTTGACAGAAGTTTAAGAAACCAGGGACAAACATAGCAAACATGCATGTATTTTGAAAGTAGTAAAAATTGCAGTCCTCCAATACCATTTTTTCACTTGCAACTTTGTCTTTTCCACAGTTGAAATAACATATTTTAAATAGGAGAATACAGAACTGGCTTACATACAAATGTTAATACAGTTTTGGGTTTCTTTTTTCCCATCACAAAGGGCTAGGCATATTCTTACATGGGATAATATTTTATACCACAAGTAATTTGTGGAAATTCCAGTTAAACCACCAGCTGCAATAAAAATAATGCAGAAAAAGTAATTGGGCTTTGGCCCACATTTTGCTGACTGTCCATTTTCAAATTTCAGTCTGTAAGGGAATCACCTGGGACAGGATTAATCTCATACGAGTTTAGATGTGTCCAGCACAGACATCATCCCCCTGAGCCAGTCACCCTCAGGTCCTTGTACAGTCAGTGTAGAGAAATAGGCCTTTTTCTGTCAAGGACCATCTGGTCTGCTTTAGACATCTACCTTGGCATGAGAAGAATCATTTCACTGACTCTGCTCACTAGATCCCTGTTGGCTCTAGGGTCTGCAGACATGCAGTTTGTACCTGTCTACATTTACTCTGATAAATCTCCCCCTCCATCCCATGGTGGGGAACCCAATTAAATGCCACCCGATTTCTGGAGGCTCTGCTCACCCCTATTTCCCACTGAGTTCGGTGCAAAATAGCAGTTACTCAGCTTCTGGCAGAAACAAGCAGAGTTCAAATCATGCGCAGGCAGCTTTTGGCCTGGGGATACGTAGCTTCACTTCTGAAATGTGGCAAACCCTGGGAAGAGCAGACGCACACGCTTGATGGAGCAGGCACCAGGGAATAGCCAGAGCAGGCTTCTGTGGGAGGCAGCGGCCTGCACAGAGAGGCAAAAAAGCCTTGCTGACTCTGTTCAGTGAACACCAGTTCGCTTAGGGCGAACCATTAAATATTTGGCATTTGTGTATTTGGCACTGCATAGGACTGTGAACTGGAGTCGCAGAGGCATGAACAAATACCCCGGCCTGCTCCCTTTGTGGTGGGGCTGACGGGTGTTAGGCAGGCCGGTGGGGAGGGCTCTCTCTAAGACCCATGTAATGCAAGAAGCATTTTTTCCTTACCTCAGGCTGCAAAAACTGCAACCTTGATCTGCAACTCCCTGTACAGTCAGGGAAGGAAAAGAAGTTAAAATAATCCAAGTAGGTACAGCCTACTTGATAACCCCCAGGGATATAACTTGTTCGCTAACAGACTATAAAGGGATCTTCATGTTGTCCACTAATGTCTAACATCTGTGATATTTAATTACCTGCACTCATCTTTTAAATGAAGAAGGTGTTCAGTAATCCTTCCTGAAGCCTAACTGAGAAAACAATATTTATTAGCTGAGGGCCTATTTTAGAAACAGATGGGGTGTAAAGAGCTTGAAGGTAGTGTACAGGAGGAGTGTGAAGCAGGAGAGATTAATTGATAAGTAATTGGGATAGAGGGGAAGAGTGTTGAATGCAGAGAGCGCAGAACAACAGATATCCAAAGCTCTGGGATTTCACTGGGACAGATCTAATTTTAATGGTGTATTTCCAAAACTGCCTTTGTGAAACCACGACGCTGAAGAGTGACAAGGAGCAATGTCGGGCTGACTGGCCAGCTCTCCTCTGAACTGTGTCCACCCCGTCCCTCTTTACCCTGTCCCCCTGCTCTCTGACTTCCTACTTTGTCTCTCTTGCTTGCACGGGGACCTCATGGCATAAGCACCAGCAGGGTGACCTGCTAGAGCAGCAACATTAACCCAGTGCCTGCACGTCGTTGCTAGGTCTCAACTACAGCAGAACTAGAAAATATCTGTCCCTATACTTTAGGAAAAACACAGCAAGATCTGTTACAAACTATTCAATCATTACTCCATAAAAATGGTAACCGTATCAAACACTACATCTTAAAATTTTCTCTATCCTACAAAGATAATTAACTTGGCTAGGTCAGCTGTTAGTCCTTTTCTGCTCTGCCTTTGTCAGACTTCCATGAGTATTTAAAGAGCTAATCTTTTGTTACACTTAGACATTGCCCAATGTTAATAATCAGGTAGTGTTTATCACTGAAAGGTTTTTTTTGCCGGCCTTGAAATCCTCACCTTGTTTTGTACTAAGAGCTACAGAGCAGGGAATAGGCAAATAAAGAAGAGGAGGATACTGCCGTTAATGAATACGCTTTGCAATGAATAAGAATAGGTGAGAGACAATCACCTCTCATGTAGTTCTGTCAGATCAGCAGGATGCAAGTCCCATGTCAAACTCACAACCTGAGCAAAAACTGAAACTGATACCCAAAGGAGGTACTTAGAGAAGTGGTGCAGATCCAAGGGACAGTTGGAAAAAAGAAGCACTTAAGAACAGGCAGCTCCAGAGAGCCAGAGGAGGCTGTGCCACACGGGGCTGCAGAGGGAACCCAGCTGTCGGGGCCCATCAGCCACCAAAGCTGAGCAAAGCTGAGCTCATGGGGACTGGGAGCAGGAGAGGGCTTCTCAAGGGGTGCAGCCAAACACAGTATTCATATAAACTTAGCCAGCTGACTTCAGTGGTTGTGTCTATAACCTGCAACCATTTCTCCTGCAAGATTCCCACCACTTTTATGCCATGGATGTTGCTTTGCTATTCATTCCCACCGTGAAAACCTGAGGTGAGCCTTCTTCCTTCCAGCCAGTGTCCTGTCCACCACTGGACAGGAGACAACATGGCAGTGCTTGTGTGGTCTGCATGGTTGAAGACAGCTCTGTCTCGTATCTGAAAGCTTTGTAAGGTGGGACTTGTATTGCACCTGAGGGATGCGGCCAGCCTTCAGGCCAAGGGTTAAGAACCCTTCAGCAAGGGTTAGGATGAGTAAACCAATATTATCTATGTAGAAGTAAAGGTGACTGAGATGTGTTATTCTACTGATATCAGAACACATAAGAGAGAAGTGAAATAATTGCCTTATGATGGGTCTAGCTGCAAGACCTCCACTGCCAGATGCTGAGCCTCCATTCCTAAATCTTCAAGAAACATGCCTTCTGACCATGACTGCCCCTGTTCTTTTGTCTCACTGGCAACACACCTCTGGGCAAGCATAAATTCTATGAAAAATAGCTGCAGGATTGTTTGTTTATTTTTTGTCTGTCTGTTTATTTTTATCAGAACAGGTATTTGACCTGACAGAATGACTTATTCTGTAGTATTTCCAATCTCCTGTTGGCTGCATCTTCTCCCTTCCCACCCATTCCAAAACCCTGTGTTCAGTCTGTCCCCACTCTTTCCACACTCAAATATAAAAAAGTGGTTTTATATATGCATGCATAAAACTGTTTAACTGCATGTTTTTTAAATATGATACCTCACTCCTGTCAGCTAACTTTTCCATTCATTGTTCTCTCTGCACCTAGAAAATTAGGACTAATTCCCATTCAAATAGCATAAGTATGATTTCACATAAATCACTTCTGGGAAGAGTGGGACTAGAGCAGGCCACATCTCCTAGAAAATGACTTCTTGCCTACGAGCAAAACTACTGAAGCTTATCCTGACACCAGAACCTGCCGATTGTCTTTTTTTGTGCAAAGTGCCTCCATAAGCCAGAGAAATTACCAAAAGTGTGAAAAGATGTCTTTTATCTGGAACAGAGGAAGGCCTGCAGGATGAATCTGCAGCTGCCTTACCCAAACTAAAAGTTACCGCTTCTTTCATGCCGGCTGTCTACTCTGGACAGAACACCATGTTCTCATCACATTCAAATGCAAACTTTCGCAGGGGCACATAGCGCTTGACATGGTCACGTATGAAGGAAAGCTACTTAAAAGTGTGCAAGTCTATTTGTTTTACACAGAGTGTTTCAATGTTCCCTCTTACAACTTTTGCAAGTTGATAAGGATACATTTTCCTTCTTAACAAGGAGGAAGTGTACTGTTTGGTGCAGTCCAAAGAGGGGTTGGGAATACGTTTCAGATACTATGTGACTGCTGAGATGAGGTATCGGTTCATCTGTATTTTTAAGAAACCGTGCAAGACTGTCGGCGCTCTGCCAGTTTCAGTGTGTCAGCAGCGGTGGGGGTATTAGTGGTTCCCTTCCTAAACCTGGATTTGCAAAATGGCGTCCCTCCCCTTGTTCTGGCGGCCAGCAAACCCTCAGCCCCCGGG